TCCCTCTTCTCTCTCCTCCTGTCTCCTCTCCCCTCCCAACTTCCCTCCTTTTCTTCTCCAATCTCTTCCCCTCACCTCTCTTCTTCTCTGCCATAGACCTGGGTCTTTGCTGCACTCTATTCTTCCTGGCACACAGGTAAGTGGAGCCAGGAGTCACACAGACCTGCCCCCCGGAAGGCGGGCACATATCCCCAGACCCAGTCCTTCCCCACCACTTGCTTGCAGGAAATTTTGCAGGTCCCAGCTTTCTACTTGCTCCAAACAAGCCTCCAGGACACCATGACCGGGCCACTGCTGGGCCGGTCCTCTAATGAAGAGTCATCTGGTTATTGTCTCACAGCCGAAGATGTGAGCAGTGGGAAGGGGAGACAGGCGTGTGCTCTCTGAAAGGCCTGGCCCACTCTGCAGACCACACCCTTTCATTCTCTCACTGTTTCCCATTTCAATGGCTTGTTCAGCCATTCCACAGATGTGGCCCCAGCATCCACCCCACACCTCCCCCTTACTGTGGATAACATTCAGGAAGGGGCAGAATGAGACACATAGACAATGCTGAGGGGTGACCAGGCTTGGTGTCAAGAGTGCAGTGAGACAGAGCCACTGGCCAGCACAGCACCCTTGCCACATTCCTATCCTCTTTAGTCATCAGAGGGTAGGAATATAGCCAAATATAGCCTAAGTTACAGGATCTCAGCCACCAGCACACCCATTATGAGAGGAACTTGGGGGTCCCAGGCAGCCAGGAGCCTAATGGAAAGACCCAAGTTTTTATGTCACACACAACCCCAGTGTTTGATGGCTGTAGAAGGTGTTCTTAAGAATCTCTACTTCAGAGGGTCATGGAGCAAATACAGAGAGGTAGTGACAACACAGGAGCTGGCAGGTAGACAAAACCTTGGTTGATGGTGGTTCGAGAAAGTTCCACACAGACCAGGGGCGGGGCAACCTTGACAGTACCCAGCTTTGCTGGGGATGGGAGAATCAGCATTGCTTCATAGCGGAGCATCTCTGGGGCTCTGAAGACAAAATCCAAAGATAGTGGGGCTGAAGAGATGGCTCAGTGGGTAAGAGCACCTGCTGTGCAAGCATGAGGACCTGAGTTCAAATCTTCAGCTCTCTTGTAAAAAGCAGGGTGTGGTCATGTGCACACTCGTAACTCCAGCACTGTGGAAGGACAGGGTTGATGAAGACAGGAGGACAGAAGGATCCCTGGGATTTGCTGGCTGCAGGCCTAGCTCCAGGTTCAGTGGGAAATGCTGTCTCAAGGGGATAAGGTAGAAAGTGACAGAGGACACCCAAAGTCTTCCTCTGGGCTCAGCGCATGTGTGCTGGTACATGTATATACACACACACACACACACACATACACACACACACAGGGTAGTTGCTCCTTGAGGTTTTTATTAACCATTCTAACAGGAACTATTGACAAATAAAGGCTTTTGTTTCCTATGAAATGTGGACACACAAAAAAATTCTCATTTCTCTTGGGGATAGAGGAAGTATAAAATTCTGATTTTTCACTTGTATACAGCCTAAGTTACAGGATCTCAGCCAACCAGCACACCCGTCCCTCCCTCTGCTGTGAGGAACTTGGGAATCCCAGACAAGCAGGAGCCCAGTGGAGAAACCCGTTTCCGTGTTACACATAGTTGCAGGGTTTGATGGTGATGAGGGCTCGATTGTTTTTCCTTGAGCTGTTGGGAAGTGAAAGCTGGGGCCTTTGTGTTCAATCAAGGCACAGGTACATGGTGTCTCTGAATGAAGCTGCCCAAACTCTTCTCTCAGCCAGAATCAGTACTGTGAGCCCAGAAAGAAGCCAGGTCCCCAGTGTCCTCCTGGGCCTGTGAAGGCCCCTTCCTGAGCCTGTGTCCCTGGGAGATGGGGAGAGAATGGTCTGCTGTGGGAGGCCCAGGCTGGGGACATGTGGGATAGGTAGTACCTGCCCTGGTAGGAAAGCATGGGAACATATAGTTTCTAGGACCCTGGTGGCTAGACATGCCCCCAAAGGCTACCTGGCAACAGCAGATTCTCATGTTATCTTAGACAACTTGTCCGGAGATCAGCCCTGCGTCATTTACCTCCCTGCAGCATTCAGAGCAACAGTATGAACCAGGGAAGGAGAAAGCATTGAGAGTCACAGGTTTCCTGTCTCCTACCAGGGGCCAGATGCCTGTGCTGGGACAAGCTGATGTTCCTTCTCTGCAGGGGGGCTATGTGAGGCTGACTGTGGTTAGACCCCATAGCCAGAGGATCCATACGCCAAGCCCTGCACATCACTGAGTGAAAGGTAATTAAGACAATGAAGCTCTTTCTTAACTCTAGATGCTAGCCCAGCCTGACAGGCCAAGATGCCCATCTTGCCTCTGACCTTCTTCTAGAACAAGTGAGGCATGTTTAAGCTTCAATCCTATCTTTGTAGAGCACTGAAAAGCCTCACCAGAAGCCACTGGGTTCATCTGCTAATTCTCAGGAAGCCCAGACCTTCAGGACAGAGGTTATAGCTTCATGTCAATCCACTTGGTCAGTTCTCAGGTCCATTTCCAGCTTGGAATGGGAGAATGTGGGTTGCAGAGTCAAAGCTCCTAGACTCATTTCTGGGCCCTGACATGTGGCTATGGAAACTTGTGAAAGCTAAAAAGATGCTTTGTGCCTCAGTTTCCCCATTTCTCAATGGAGATAATAAAGCTGCCACCTCGTCATGTTGCAATGAAGAACTCAGTGCAGCAGTCACTGGCTCAGTCCCTTGTACACAGCAGGTGCTCAGGAGACACCAGCCATGTCAACCCTGGCAGATGCCCAGCCCAGCCCTTGAAAAGGCCCTGGCTCAGTCCTTGCTGTAGTTGTGAAGGGGAGGCCAGTGGTCTGTGCAACACATTCATTGGGCATGTGGTCCAGGAGGGAGGAAGAGATGGGCTGGTCAGGTTCAGACTGCGGGTGGGAGGAGGGGAGGGAGCAACTTCATGCCTGGCAGAGGTGACTTTTCCACTAATCAATATATCCCTCATCTGAGGGACAGGAAGGGAATATTGTGTCTTTCCTTGCAGGGAGACTTGATCCCCAGCACCAGAAAATCACCATGAATGACAGTGACAGATGGCTATTGATTGTTGGATAGAGAAAAATGAGAAGGAGCTGACTTGTCCTGAGGGTAGAAGCAGGGAAGGCATTCCAGGAGGGGCTGGGAGATCAGGGAGCCAGGATCCTGGAGAAGAAGAATGTATGGGGTGAAGGCCAGGCCTCCCACCAGCTCTAAAACACAAGCTTCTTGGGGACTTCCCAGGGAAACTCGCTTCTCCCGAAATGGCCATAGCATGCAGTCTTCTGGTAGATAGGTTTCTTCAGATCCAAGTCCCTGCATGGTCAGCACAAGTGAAGGTCATTTTAAGATGGGAAAGGGTAGGGTTTCTTTCTCTGCAAGTGGCAGGCTGTAGGGATGGTCCTGGGTGGAACTTTAGCACCCACACTCTCCTCCTTCCTGTTGTATGGCTTAGGAAGTGGAGACTCAGCAGTTCAGAGACAGCTGCACACTAACGCACCAGGGCCAGGGCTTGAACTCTACTCAATGGTTCCTATCTCTACTCTTCTCCATTGGCCTAGGCCAGCTCTCTCATGGCCAAGCACCAGGGGACAGGGATGCATGAGAACATGTAGGAATGGAATTGCTGACTGTACCATCTAGCCTGAGGTGCCCCAGTTACTCAAAGATGGCCCCACTATGGCTAGTGTCTGCTGGACTAGCAAGGGACCTCACACAGCCTCCCCAGCCTGAACACCACACATCCCAGGCCAGGTACTTGAAACTCTCCTCCTATGAAAGGCTGGGAAGTCCTTTCAGCTGAACTGTGCATCCGGATGGGGAAGGGGCAAGGTCCCCTGCAAGAGCAGCAAGGTGGCACGTTTACCTGACAATGACACCGGGCCGGAGGTCAAAGTTCCTATTCACCACGTCTAGCAGCTCCCGCTCTGTTTTCTCTGAGGTCCCATAGGTGAAGATGGAAATGGAGAGTGGCTCTGCCACACCGATGGCATAGGACACCTTCCAGAAAGACTTGGTTCAGGGACTGAGGCAGGGCAGCAGGGATCATCCTTTTCCTGCTAGTAGCCTCCCCTGCCTGCCTCACCTGCTTGAGAGCCCTTCTTCAGGCATGCTCAATCCCTGAAACTTGTTCTCCTTCCCCAGTTTGCCAGACCCCCTAGCTACACAGTAGGCAGTGCAATATAAACAGAATGACAACCAATGGCAAACAGGTAGCTTCCCCATCAGGTCACCATCCCTTACTCCAGGCTGGGCTGGGACCCTCAGCAGGGATAGGAGAGTGGGATCAGAGTGGGAGGGGCAACCTACCTGAACAAGCACTCTCCGGCAGAGCCCGGCTTTTACCAGAGATTTGGCCACCCAGCGGGCAGCATATGCTGCTGAGCGGTCCACCTTGGTGTAATCCTTTCCAGAGAAGGCACCACCACCATGAGCTCCCCAGCCGCCATAGGTGTCCACAATAATCTTCCGGCCTGTGACACCTGCATCTCCCTACAGCGGGAAACAAATGTTATGAGAACCCTGAAAGCTGGATGGGGCAGAAGTCCTAGGAAAGGATAACCTGGGTTGCCTATGGGCATTCTCAAAGACTCCTTGTAATCAGGCAGAAGCCACAAACTGTCATTCCACTCCTGACACTGTCCAGCTATGAAAATCGGGAAACCTGTCAAAGCCTCATTGGAAAGTGCAGAAGACAGGCCAGAGGTCACCTGGGGTCATGCCTTCACTTTTGAGTCCATCATAAGGAGAGGTCCACCTGAGGCAGGAATTACACTGCAATAAAAGCAACCCTGGGCTGTGGCCCTAGCTAGTACCACCAGAAAATTCCATGTCGGTCTATTCCCATGTGCTCTGTGCAACATCAGAAAGATGCCTTTGAAAGAGAGGAGGGAAAACAATGAACAATGAACTTGACCTCCAGTTTGGCCTGTCCCAACACTGTTACTCACAGAGCCCGCTCTGGGGCTGTCAACCTTATGACAAAACCCTCAAATGCAGTGTTCTGCCAATTCTTACCTCCTCACTCCTCTGTACCTACAGTAGAAAGGGGCAGTATCTGTCCTTGCTTTGATAAGTCCCCACCTCTGCCTTCCTGACCATAAAAGGCTGGACACAGCCATGGTAAATACCTAACAAGTGCTGCCTGGGACTCAGCCTTAAGCAAGCACTGCAGTATTAAGTGAATGCCTGACTGAGCAGGGAGAGGATGGTGGCAATGGGCAGGGGTGAGAGTATTTGGGACAGTAGGGTGAGAGGGCCAGACAGTGCTAAGTGGGTGACTCCCATGGATATGTCTCCTTCACCCACTAACAGACACACAGAGGCCCAAATTCACTGAGCACATTTACTTCATGGCCAGACCCTACTGAGCTACTCAGAGCCATGTCTTGTCATCTGTGTGCTCTGAGACATAAGTAGCCCCAGTCATTGAGACCCAGGAACAGGGCCTCATCAGGAGACAAGTTCGTACCTGGGGACCTCCGATGACAAACCGCCCACTTGGCTGCAGGTGGTAGATGGTATCTTCGTCCAGGTACTTGGCTGGCACCACGGCCTTAATCACCTGTTCCTTCAGGGCCTCACGCATGGCCTCCAGTGTTATGTCTTCATTGTGTTGCACGGAGATGACGATGGTGTGGATGCGCACAGGGATGACTGCACCATTATCCTGCATGTACTGAACTGTGACCTGTCCATCAGGGGAGAGATTTTGAGGTCCAGACCTGAGCTGAGAGCCTGTGGTTGCCAGGAACAGATGCCTAGGAGAGTGGTAGAGCTTTCATGGGGCCAAGTGGGCCCTTTTGCCCTCAAAGGCTTTTTGGAGACTCACTATGACTCATTTTAACATTGGGTAATTTGCCAACATTGTGGGTGACAGCATAAAGCACAGCAATTCCCACACACGGCACTTCCTCTCAGCCGTGACCACCAGGTTCCTCCCCTTCTATCCCAGAGGCTGCTAGTGACAATGACTATCTCTGACCAAAATCTTCTTGCAACTTTCCATGGACTTGGGCCAAAGTACCCCTGTTCTTACCAGTGAACATGGGAATTCACAGTCCACGTGTTACTGGCAGGGACAAAGGTACTTTGATCCTGGACTGTGAAGGGTCAAGAAGAGTCTTTGACCAGGGTCATATCTGTTCGTACACAGAGCCTCTGAGACAGAGGGAAGGAGCCTGGCAGGTGGCCCACCACCCTCAGTGAAGGATCCTAGAAGTGCTTTGGGGCCAGCAAACTTTGCCTGCTATAGGAACAGCTGAGGTTTAGGGGCAGCAAGCTCTGGACTTCCAATGTCTTGGTACTTTCCTCAAAGAAAGGAAGACCAATATGTACCTGGGAGAAAGACCCTCTCTGTGAGGACTTAACATGGCAGGTCATGGAGCGTGCATCAAACGTTCACCTCCTCTGTAGCCATTTCTGTGCCCATACTGTACACCCACCAATTAAGATTTACAACATCACAGTGAGGGAGGCATCATTATCCTCACTTCACAAATGAGATAAGCAAAGAGATCCAAACTTAAACAACTTGTCTGACATCACACAGCCAGTTTGTGAAAAGCCCAAGAATCAGGCCCTGCCTAATCCAAAGCTTGTGTCCCTCCCACTGAAGCACAGACAAAATGCTCTCTAGAGTCCCTGTTCTCTAATTATATGTCATTGTAGATGTTAGCCTGACATCTCAGGTGACACAGAAAAGCAGCCAGGTGCCCCTGGGTTTACAAAGTAGGAGTAGGTGGTAGGGCTAGCATATAAAGATGGAAAAAGAAAACAGCAATGGTCAAACAAGCTTTGCATTCTAGAAGTCATGCCAAATTTGAATAGCTGTTATTGCCCCAGTCTACAGACAAGAAAACTAAGGTTCTGGGATGCAAACACCTTGGTCAAAAATCACACAAAATTGTTGAGGTCTGACCGGGTGCTTTATAGCTACTTAAGACGCTGAGCCATGTGCTGGGCTCCAGGCTCCAGGCTGCCTAAGGTAGTACACACCCATTAGAGAAGTACTCAGAGAGCTTAGGGTCATGAGGTGCTTATAGGAGTGTACCTATCCCTAGGTAGGAATGCTAGCCAGCTGGTAAGCTGGTACAGGTTGCTTTCCACTCAAGGGTGCAGTCAGGACCTTGCTGTGAGCAGTGCCTTGCTGGGTCTATGCTGCAGTAAGGACTCTGCCTACCCAAGGCACCTCAGATGTCCATCCAAAGTACAGTCCATCCATCACTTCTCAGTCCTCTGGCTAAGATCAAGCATAGCAAAATGGGGTCCATATCAAATTCCTGCTCTGTGTCCTGCTCGTCCAAAAAGCAACCCAGTGAGAGTCAGATGGAGAGAGAACCCTGGCTACCAGCTGCTAGACCCTAGTGAGATGGGCAGATGTAGTCACTGAAGACTCCTACATCCTGCACTGTCTACACATGGGAACTGTCCTCACATGGGGTCCCATGAGAGGCAGCTAAAGTGGGGGATAGAGACTCCCAAGAGAGAAGACCTGTGGCAAGCTCTAGGACCAGAGCTACCTTAGGAGCACTAGGAGAAGGTGCAGTCTTGAGGAACTTCCCCAACCTGGCTTGTCTTCCCTGAGCCCTGATGTCTCCCCGCCCAACAGGCAAATGCCACACTGTGTCCTTGCAGGACTCCTGGAACAGGGTGGCAGAGCAAAGGGCCCGAGCTTTGCTCTTATCTCAACATGTCAGCAGATATGAGGAAAAATACACTATGGAAAACAGAGCTCTGACCTGGTACAAAAATAGCCATCGTATTGCCACCCCGATTCTCAGTATCAGCAGCAAGGATTTGTTCAGGTGGAAGGATTCATCCTGTTCACAGTCAACACTGGAGACAATGGCAATCCTTTACAAAGAGCCTGCAGAGAAGGCCGGCTGCTGTTCCTAACACAGTGCTCCTTGCATGGAGGTGGTGCAAGGAGGCAGCAGGGAGGCCCACAGCCAGCTACAGAGCCCCACAGAGTGCCACCAGCAGGACCACACCCTTGATGTCTAGGGTTGGCTCATGGTCTCCTGTGGCAGGGAATGAAGCCAACCATTGCATCAATAATGGAATCTTAAGAGATTTCAATGCAAGGTCCTACTAGACCCCTTCCTTCCCTTTCCTGGGACAAGCGATGTGCTCTTATCCAGGTAAAATGAACAAGGCCTTTCCTACAGCAGCTGGCCCCATAGGTATACCCTCTGCTTCTCTCTTATAGGAAAAGGAAGGTCTAGCAAGCCCCACTGTCTCTTCTCACCCCTGGTCTAGGATTGCCTTTCTGTGAAGCTCTACCCTGATTCAAAATTGAAGTACCATTCTAGTGTATGGTGGGCCAGCGCATGCCAACATTTCTGCACACTTTCTTTTGGTAACACCACAGTCTCCATGTTAGTTCTTTTGTCCCACAACCTCCATTGACACCTGACAGATGCTGGTGACCTCATTTCTCTCCACCTTGGGAGTCACATGAATAGCCTAGGAAGACCCGAGAATAAGTTTTCTTAAGCCACAAGCACATTCCCTTGCCCAGGTTGAGCAAATGTGGGGCCTCTGCCCTGTGAGTGGTCCCACCCTTGGCATGAGGAGGACGTATCTCTGGATAGCTGGAGTAACAGGACAGAACCACATACCACACTGGGTCTTAAGAGCCAGGTAGATCAATTCCAAGTGACGGGAGAAAAAGAGAAAGAATATTGTTTGGTGGTGGCCGGAATTAGAGATGGGCTTTTCTGGCCCCAGAAAAGGACCACAACTTAGATGAAAGCAGGACCTCAGGCCCCGTGACACAAGGGGAACCTGAGTGACATGATGTCAGTGAAGTGGGGATGCCGTGAGGGGGCAGGCAGGGGAGAGTAATAATGGAATACCATAAAAACCTTTGAATGGAAGAATGACAAGTGGATTGGACTCTGCTGCCCCCCCCCCCCGGGAAGCAGAAAGTTGTAGGAAATACTGAAAAGATAGTGCACCTTGTAGGGAAGATGAATGGGAGTTCTTAAGAAGGAGAAACTTTGGGGACAGTAGGTGCTGATGAATTGGATGAAATGGAAATGGGGGGCAGCCTGGGAAAGACTGGGCTGAAGCAAGAGGGATGCTGAGCAGGGAAAACCTGGGGCAAAAGCAGACTGGAGACAGATGGCACCAGGCAGCACTGGGGGACAGGTGCTGTACCCATTCCTCAGCTCAGTACGAGATGACTGTGAGCACATGGTTCTCAGGCACATGTGCTTGCAGGGTGAGTGAGAACCAGGGCTGCTGATTTAGAGGGACCAGAGCTGGAAGCTTCAGGAGCTAAGTGTGTGACTAGAGGAGGAGAGCGTGGAGGAAGAAATGCTCAGACCATGGGGCATCACACTTTGGAACATGGAAGAGGAGTCAGGGCAAACAGCCAATGGTGAAGGGCTGTCAGTAGACTGAAGAACAACAGGGGACTTCCATGTGTGCTGCTGTTTGCATCACACTGCCCTTCAAATAGAAATGGATTTCAACATGGAAGGAGGTGGAAGGTCAGGGCCCACAGTATGCACACATCAAAGATGAAGTCTTTTATAAGAAACACAGACAAGGAAAAGGTCCTAGTGAGATACCAAGAGCACAGACAGTCTGTTCAAGATAGGGAGGCCCGTGTGTGTATAAAGGCAAGGACCACCATGTCTGAAGCCAGTGAAGAAGTCTGTGGAGGGAATTAAGGGATCATCTGGGTCTACATATGCCAACAAAGAAGGAAAAAGATCTTGTCTGAATTTAAAACAATTAAAATAAACTTTGATGGAGGTGAAGGTGGAAGAGATACTTAGCCTGAAGGAGTTTTCAAATAAATGATTCTTTTCAAAACGGATAATGCTTTGGATGCCCAGACAGAATATTTTCTTCTTAAAAGTGGCATGACTGCTTTGGGGGTAGATAACCAACTTGAAGCCCATTTCACCAAAGGGAATTCATGCCTGGTCTGTCGTCAAAAGTCCTTGGCTGGGGAGTTCACAGGCCCTATGGGAGAACCTACTGCTGTCATTTTGGTGGATAGACAGGTGTCCAACTCCCTTCTAAATATTTATGCTTACACTCCTAGATTAGTGTTGTCTCAGCCTTGATCACAGAAGCTCACATTGCAGTGGGATGGTTAATGCAGAGACTCTCAACCGGGCAAAGTGCTGAGAATGAATTAACTGTTGAGTGCTCAGCCATAAATGGGACACCTACATCACCCCCTCCAAAGCTCAGGGAACATGGCAGAAGAGGGGGCAGAAATGACACGAGCCAGAAAGAATGCTATTAAATGCCATCTTCTGGACATGACACGACTATTGCACCCAAGAATTCATAGCAGCTATGATGCTCTGCACCAGACTGGACCCATCTGTGCTCCATCATGGATGGAAGAAGGTCCTATAAGGCCCCACACTCCCCAAGGAGCTATAGGCAAGTAATGGGAAGGGAGAGTCTTATTCCTCACTGGTGTTGCTAATGGGTATTTAGTCAAAGACCATTATACATATGTTTGAAATTGTGAAAGAATAAATTCTAAAAATAAAATAAATATACAAAATTTTAAAAGGATTTTGGGAACTTACTCATATGAGGTTATAGCAGTGGTGACAGCATGCACAAGACCCATGCAAACTCAATCAGACAAAAATCAGCATAGATCTGGGAAAATGAGCAGGAGACCCCAGCCTTAGCTGAGGTGCTATCGGCAGCTGATCACTGCTGAGTGAGGGAGAGTCTATCTTCTTTTAGGGGGTGATGCTAGATAGGCTGACCAGGCTCCAGTGAATGTACTCACACCAAGGGACATCTGGATAGAAATGCTTGACCAGATAGCTCTTAACATATAAGACAGAATGAAAACTGCATGAAATCCAGTGGGGGGTGGTGTCTAAATATGATTAATATGTATTATGTGAAATGCACAAAAATTCAATAAAATATACATTGAGAAAAGCATTAAGGAAAACAATAACAATACATATGTACTGGGTAGGGAAAAGAGTGGCCAGAACCCAGAGGATTTGGGGTGCTTGAAGTTCCTGTGAAGAACTCTCTCTACAGGAGGCCAAGGGTGCAGCTCACCTGAGTTTTAGAGTCAGGTCTCAGCCAGGGCAGGACACCAGAGCGCCTCAGTTCTGCCATCCGGGTGTTGAGTTTGTGAGCGAGGATAATGGTGAGGGGCATGCATTCTTCTGTCTCATCAGTGGCATAGCCAAACATCAAGCCCTGTAGCAGGACATGTACCTTAGACCAGCCGGACAACAGCTTTCTCTAAAGCTCACATTGTTTGGTGGGTCAACAGTTATTGGGTGTCCCACATAAGGAACACTCTGCATTGGGCATTTGGGAAGGGGAAGACACTGTTCTTGACCCATAACACTCTGGAAGGAGGAGATGAACCCATATGTGGTATCACATAGCCATAGCATGATGCTGCTGCCAGGTAACAGCGGTCAACTCCCCCTGGGCATGCGTCTCCCCAGCGCTCTAGGATGATGACTACCCACCACTAGCAAGCCTTTTCTCATGAATTTCCCAGCTAGCTTCTCCTAAAAAGTCCCAGCCAAGTCTTAACAAACAAACAAACAAACAAACAAACAAACAAACAAACAAACAAACAGGCTACCCTGGAATGAAATCACCATGCTCCCCCCAGCTAGCTTCTCCTAAAAAGTCCCAGCCAAGTCTTAACAAACAAACAAACAGGCTACCCTGGAATGAAATCACCATGCTCCCCATTCCCTTCCCCAAGAGTTGACATACCTGATCTCCTGCACCAACATCCTCCTCATTTCTGTCTAGATGGACACATTGGGCAATATCTGGGGACTGTTGCTCCAGAGCCACTAGTACATTGCAGGTCTTAAAGTCAAAGCCTAGGTAGAAGCAATTCAAGTGGGGAAATGTTTTAACACAGGACTGTGAGTTTCCTGGTAGACTGTGAGTCACTGATATGGCATTTAATGTTGAGGGAGGTGGCCTCTGACCCACAACTGAGGCCTGGGATGTGGAAAGACCACACATCCTTCTCCATGGGATTTTACCAAAGAAAATTCTCCACAAGGCATTTTACTGTTTTCAACTACAGCTTGATTAAAAAAGTATATTCTACACAAAACTATGACATACAAACCAGATAGCACTGAAGATGTTCTGCCTGATAAACAGGTAAGAGATTGATGATCTTGCCCCCTTAGATACTCTCAGAAGAACTTTCTAGAACCCCATTTGAAAATCACTGTACTAGCAGGGCATGGTGGTGTATGACTATAATCCCAGTACTTGGGAGATGGAGGCAGGAGGCCATTGTTGGCTGCACAGGAAGTCTGAGGCCACCCTAGGTTACATGAGACTCTGTCCATAAATAGATAAAAATAAATAAATAAATAGCTGTCCATAAATAAATGAAAGAGAGAATGAATCACTGAACTGATTGAAAATCAAGGGTCTTTCCAATGTAGTTATTAGAAGTCTAGGCGTGCACCTAACCAAAAATAAAATATCCTGAATAAATGCCATGTACATGAACCATCCAGAGAGACTCCCAGAGCCAGGATCCTCTGAACCCAAGATGAGCACAAGGCCTGTGACAAATAGAAAAAACTACACCTCTGGGACCAAGGGCCCTCTGCAAATCTGTGGCACAGAGTTGGGGACCTACCTCTGGCATGCTGGGTAATGGCTGAAGAAAGCCTCACTAACTACAGTCCCTGGCAGGGGATCAGAATTCCTTTAGACAACAAAGTCAGGGCCAGCTTTAATCATGCTTTAATTTTCCACTTCTCCTGGGTATCTTTGCCTGGAATGTTTCCTCTCTGGCTCCCTCTCCCCTCATTCCCAAACACTACTAGCTCCCAGTTAGCGACCCTGGGCATCTGCTCCTGCAATTCTGCTCCCTCATTGCATAAGACAAAAACAAACTCACATAGAGCTCCTCATGATGCGTCATCTAGGCCAAGCATTCCCTCTACCCCAAACATCAAGTCACCTTTGCTTTTTGTACCGCCTGTTCCCTAATGAATGTTTTTGATGTACAAATCAATGAATAGTCTTTAGAGAGGTGTCAAAGGGCTCTGCTGTCTACATTAAACATTTCACTTTTGCCTAATCTTCCTGGTGCTGAAAATCGAGCAGGGGATGCAGGTGACTTGGAAAAAATTGACTTTATGAACTAAAGGGACAGAGGAAGAACTTGGATATGGTAATGAGTCCAGAGACCCTACAGCAAAAACAGTGTCAGGAATGGTTGGCCACAGGCCTTGCCAAAGCAGCCTTCACAGTTCACAGTGGTCTATTTGCCACAAGCCACTGACAAGTATGGGTGCAGGGAAGTTCAGTCAAACAAACACAACTCAGCCAGAGCTGGCCTCTATCACTTAGCTCTTTCTTTTTTCTTTTTGTCTTTTTTTTGAGACAGGGTCTCTCTGTAGCCCCAGCTGTCCTGGAACTCACTATGTAGATCAGGCTGGCCTTGAACTCACAGAGATCCACCTGCCTCTGCCTCCCAAGTGCTGGGATTAAAGGCGTGCACCACCACGCCCGGCCACTTAGCTCTTTCTAAGGGACATTACCTCCTGGAAATTTTCTTTGCTACCTAATGCAAGGTTTGGTCTTGAATACAAGTCTAAATGTCTAGAAATAAATTGGCTTTTCATGGCAGAATGGGGGAAGGCTCTACATGGTATCATCATCTCAAGATGCTGCTCTCTGGGACAGTAAATTTCTTCTATGAAGCCCTCATATCTTGGGTGGGAAAATTAACTTGCACTACTTCTCTTCCTAATAAAAACCTTATAGGCAGCCAAGAGGTCTTGATCACTAATGAGCGCTTTGGTCCAGGTCAGATTGTTCCAGTCACAGCTTTTTGCGTGCTCTACATGGAGAGTTCCTCACACTTATAATATGGGCACGAGCATCTTTGTGTCCCTGACCCACAGAGATGTCATAGGTCACCCTGAAGAACCAATGTGAGACAGCTGCAGAAATGACAGTCACAGTCCTATTTGTGAGACTTGATTAAAGGTATAAGTCTAGGTTAGCCTAGAAGTGGACCTTCTATGATTGATGAAGGTCTCTGCATCTTTTACAGTGACCTTTGGGGATTAGGAGCGGATCAAAAGGAATTTTTCTTTAAAACCTGAGATTGTATGAATATCTCTGCCAGAGGCTATCATAGAATCTATAAGAAGTAGGGCTATAGCCCAATCTAGGAAACTGTGTGGATAGAGAGTGCCTGAAGGTCTCCGGAAATGTCCCTGAGTGTGGCCCCTTATGCCTGGGTCTTCTGATGCACCTGCAGGTTTCCTGGCCTGCCCAGGTTTAAGCAGTGGAACCTGCTGTTCTGTTTACTCTCACTCCGCCTGGTTACACTGGTGTTTCTCCTCACTTCCTTGCCAGATCTGGGCCTCTTCCCCCGGCCTCTGCCCCTACAGTAACTACTTAGAACCTTTGGTGCTACGTGCCAACCCATCTCCTTCCCCTGATATCAAGCCCTGGTGCTTGAAAATGAGTCTTTGTTCTCCACGTCTATAGTGAGATGCAGTGGAGCTTAGTGGAGCACACAGGAGTTCCAGCCCCAGTGGCCTCTCACTGAGTGTGTTTACCTCTCTAAGCCAAGGGGCTTATCTGCTTAAGAGGCACACCAGAGCTTCTGGAAAGATGAAGACAGACCGCAATTACAGACATCAGCACCAGTGCCTGGCAGAAAGCATGTCTTCAGGAGAGGGCAGCTCCCTTCATATGGCACTTCATTCAAAGCCTCTGCCAGTACCAAGAACACTAGACCTTAAATAAGACTTACCAATGATGAATGGGCACATGCTCGGCCCACCAGCTGCAGTCCCACAGAGTCAGGTGGTCAGATTTTAGTTTGGCAAGAGCTTTTGACTCTTAGGACCTGTCAAATTGATCCAAGACTGTTTCCCCTCCTGGCAGGATTTGTAGTTTCATAAAACTGAAGGGTCAAATTTGACTCAGTGTAGATGGGACAGAGACATACATGCACCCAGACCCAAAAGCCTGTCCTCACCCTTGGCAGAGTCGTCATAGCCGATATGCTTGATGGTGTCTCTCACTACCCGCTGGTAATCTACCATAGCCACTGAGGTGATCTCCCCACACAGCAGCACCATGCCTGTCTTGCACACGGTCTCTGGAAGGGAAGGGGGATAGGTTACAGCCATGGGCTAGCAGACAGAAGCTCAAATGTCTAGACTTTGCATGGCACAGATAAAAAGACTCACAAGGGGTCTCATGAGGGATGGATTCCAAGAAAGAATAATCAAGGCAATAAAAAGAGCGAGTCCAGTGCTGAGCACTGACCATCTTCAAATGCTGCCTGGAGAGTGATGCTTTGGAAAGAATCAGTTAGGTTTGAGTCCTGCACCTACTATTTCTGTTATCTTGGACAACTTATTTAACCTATCTCAGTTTCCTCAACTATTCCCTAAGGATAAGAATGACTGCTGTGTAGACTGAAACGGCACAGTAGTCGAATACAGCTATCTTATTGAACATGGTAAATGGTACCTCCTTCCTCAGAGTACGTGCATGCGTGCACACACACACACACACACACGCACACACACATACACACACACACACACACGCAAGCACACAATCAGAATTTCACTGGAAGGAGTGTGATTCTGATCCAAGGGATCAAGACAGACCAGCCTTCTAAAAGGAATTCTTCTTTAAAAAGTGGAACTGGATGACTATCTACCACTAGAGGCTATCCCGGAAACTTTAAGAAGTGGAGCCGAACCCTCTCCAGGAGACTAGTGTGAATAAAGGGTGCCTGAAGGTCTCAAGAAACGTCATTGCTATTTACAGAGACATTAGGGTGGCACCAGGACCTGAAATATTTGCCATGGGCTAGGATGCCACCAGAGAGGAAAGGATGGTCTGTACAGTAGACAGGACATATTACAGGCACCGAGGACAGTAGAACTCTGATCTCCACACTCAGTCCCCCTGATCTGTAAGCCAAGGCCGGGCCTACCCTGTAAGCAGGCTGGGCCTGGGCTCTCCAGACTCTGGAGTCATTCTCTATGTTGAGTGCCAAGGCCCTCAATCATGCTAAGAGCTGATGTTGAAGAATTTATCCTACAAATGCCAGTAAATATCTTCTGCCCCAGGAAACAATGAAGGACACGTGTGGAAATGGGCTTCAGGGCTTCAGTTCAGCACTGATGTCCCTTGGGAAAGCTACGGGTTCAGTTATGCACAGGTGATGGAATTGCTGCTCTCCATCGCTGTTAAATGGGAAGGATAAATTATTTTAACATCTGAGTTATACCACAAGCTAGGAAAGAAAAGTACAGGAAGAGCTAGACATGCACAGCCACCAGAACAACCATCTAGACAGCCTCTGGCATTTCACATTCTTTCACCTCCTTTGGAGGATGCATCCATGAACTTCTAAAGGTCTCCCCACTCCCAATAAAATTGTGTCATGGAGGCCATGTTTCCATTCAGTCTGCTACTTATGATAGCTGAGACATGTAATGTCACATTCTGAAAAATTTGTTTCATGGTTCAAAATGTTTCTCCTCCCTGATACAACACAAAAAATCACCTAAAAAGGAATTCCCCTGCACACAGGAGGACATTGACTTTGGAAACTCAAGAGGATGACTCTGCAGTCTTAGAATCACCATGACCTTCTCAGTACAACCCACTCAGGTCTCTAGCAGGAAGGAACATGGTTCTTACCACAGGCCACCTTGGCATTGGGGTCTTGCTTGAGGTGGGCATCCAGCACTGCATCACTGATCTGGTCACAGATTTTATCTGGATAAGAACAAAGACTAAGTGTAGCAAATCACATCAGTGTTAAGTATGAAAAATGCAAGAGTTAAAATATTTTGACATTTTATTTGTTTATAGATCAAATCTAACAACCAGAGGAAAAAGGATACTATCTTAAATATAAAAATTGAAGAACTTGGTTATCATCTTGTATAATTTAATAAAATATAAGATCATAAGCTAAAAAATGAAGAACATTTTTTGTCAGAGAAATCATTATGTAGATTTTTTCATTTATTCTTTGATACTGTCATACATGTATATAATGTATTTTGATCATGTTCAACCTTCATTGGCCTCTTTTATCACCCTCCCATTCCCTCTGAAGGGAATGTTGTTCTTCCCAACAGTTACTTCCATGTCATTTTTTGTGAGTCATTGAGTTTGATTAGAGTCATCTACATGAGCATGGGTGAGGTGTTATTGACTGAAGCATGGGTCACATACCGCTCAGTGTTTACACCACTGAAGAAAAATGACCCCCACCCCTGCAGTGACCCTTAACTGCCACTAGTTCCTTAAGTAGGGGTAGGGCCTCACAGGTCCTCAGAAATGAGAACTAATTTGAAGTTTTTATTTCTTCTAATTCCTACCTAATTTTGGAGGATGGCATGTATCATATAAAGTCACAGAATTCCTTAAAAGGAAATACATGGAACTGGAGAGATGGCTCAGTGGTTAAGAGCACTGGCTGCTCTTGCAGAGGACCCAGGTTTGATTCCCAGCACAAACATGGCGGCTGACAACCATCTGTAACTCCAGTTTCAGGGGATTCGACGCCCTCTTCTGGCATCTGCATGCATTGCACGACACAGGTGCATTTACATGCATGCAGGCAATACACTCATACACATAAAATAAAAATAATAAAATATTTTTTAAAAAGGAAATACAGGGCTGGAGAGATGGCTTAGCAGTTATGAACACTGACTGTTCTTGCAAAGGAACTGGGTTCGATTCCCAGCACCCAATGGTGGCTATGAATCATCCTTAACTCCAGTTCCAGGGGACTCCAAAGCCCTCTTCTGACCTCTGAGACACTGCATGACATGGCTGCACTCACATACATGCAGGCAATATACTCATACACATGAAATAAAAATAATAATAAATTATTTTTTAAAAAGGAAATACATTTCAGAATCAGTTCTTCTAAGAGTCTAAGCAATCCATGCATGTTTTTCTAACAAAAAGTCTCTCATTCTTCAAACCTACTCCTTTTAATTCTAACATCTAGAAAAGTCCTAGAAATAGTTTAAAATCCTTCATAAGATTAGGTACTAAGTGGTTAGACCAGAGAGAATAAACAACACGTTGAAAGTTCCACAGACACAATGCATCAGATAGGAAAAATAAACCAAGTAGATGGCACCACCCATGAGAACTCCACTGGGAACCCCTACACATCAATGATACTTGGCAGAGTGTTACCTAATAAGCATTTCTCAAGTCCTCCCCCTCATCACTCAGCCTCCTGAAAGTCAGATGTCCTGATAGCTAGGCCAAGATGGAACTGATAAAGGTCCGACATGAGCTGAGAATTGAGCTCATTCTTCTGCTGTTTACATTAAGGACTCATACTATCTAACATGCAGATCAGTAAGTAGAATTGTGCACAAAATCCTCACTCCAGCTTTGGGGTTACACAAACTGTGAATACTTACCAATTAAGAAGTATAAATGACCTCTATTTACACATATCTCAGTATTCAAAATACCCAGAGAATCTGTTTTTTAAAATTTTATTTATTATTTTTATTTTATGTGTATGTGTGTATTGCTTGCATGTAGGTAAGTGAACTCGTGTCGTGTGATGCCCGAGGAGGTCAGAAGAGGCTATCAGATCCCCTGTGACTGGAGTTACAGACAGTTGTTAGCTGCCATGTGGGTGCTGGGATTCAAATCCGGGTCTCCTGCAAGAACAGTCAGTGTTCTTAACCGCTGAGCCATCTCTCCAGCCCTGAGAATCTGTACTTAATAGATTGTTCTTTAAGACTTATTGAACTTTTAAGTGTGTGTGTGTGTGTGTGTGTGTGTGTGTGTGTGTGTGTGTGTAGGAATGTGCACATACGATTGCAGGTACCCACGGAGTCCAGAACAGGGTGTTGAATTCCCTGGAGCGTGAGTTGTAGGCAGTTGTGAGCTGTCCAGTGTAGGTACTGGGAACCAAATTTGGGTTTTCTGCAAGAGCAGTATGTGCTCTTAATCACTGAGTTATCTCTCCAGTTCCAGTAGACTATTTTTAAGAAGCCGGGTCCTGAATCAAAAAGTTTAGCTCTCAAAAGCAGATATTAAGATACTGATAAATTTACCATTAAAAGTGAACTTTCTCATTTTTCCTTCAGAAGCGACTATAAAACATATGCTAGAGTTTTTCTATTCGTCCTCCTGTCAGGGGCAGATGCCAGTTTTAAATCCAGGATATTTAAATCTGTAGCCTCTGCCACTCCTATCAATGAAGGCCTCTTGATATACCTTAAAATAAATATGTGGTGGCCACCTTAGGCCCATCAGAATTCCTAGAAGCTGTTCAAAGGCTGACCGTGGATATCTGTTTATATAAGTGACCCAGTTTACACATGTGCCACTGTGCAGGGAAATGCAACAGCTATGGGAAAAGCTGGAGTCTAGCAAGGTCATCAAGATAGTTGTATAGGTTAGATAGCGTCTGAATGCATTGGACTTGAGGATATGCATCTTTGTGTGCACTTGCCTGCCTGCCCTCCCTCCCTCCCTCCCTCTGTCCCTCCCTCCCTCTCTCCTTCCCTTCCCTTCCTCTCTCCTTCCTTCCTCCCTTTCTTTCCTCTCCTCTCTTTCCTCCCTCCCTCCTTTCCTTCCTTCTTGGATTTTTGAGACAAGGTCACATAACTTGATACGTAGCTGAGGATGGTTTTGAACTCCTGGTACCCCTGTCTCCACCTTCCAAGTGCTGGGATTACGGAGTGCTCCCTCTCTTTCTCTCCTCATATATCTACATATGACACTTGCGCTCTTTCTCATATATATATATATACGGCACTACTAGGGACTGAACCTAGGGCCCTGCACATGCTAGGCAAGGAATCTACCACTGAGGTAATCTGTCCCCTGAAAGGGTTCTTTCTGATCAGTCTTTTTGGACTTTCCAATTTTTAATATACCACTCAGTAGGCTTAGGACAGTCAACAGGTGCTCCCTTTGAAGATTAATAGGAAGCATGAATTTTATCTTTCTGATGTAGGAGAATCTAGCCAGGGGACGACAAGTAGGTCCTCAAACCTCTGAGTAAAATGACTCACTTGGACAGTCAATTTATGAAGTCAAGTGAATGGGAAATCAGACAAATCAATAGACTATCATAAAGAAGACAAAACAGTCGATGGACGGGCAGTTTTCATTCTCTGTCCATTGAGCACACTGCTGCTATGTATAACAGGCCATGCTTGGGACAACTGTCCCCTGGGTGCCAGAGAACTCCCTTCCTCTGGTGTAGTAAATCCTTCTTCTAACTTATAGATGACCTTCATAAGCTATGCAGCTGCTCAGAGTGTGCCTGATGTTAGTGATGTGTCTAAAATTATAGGTAGATCTAGAAACTGATCTATAAAGTAACACTTGGTGAAAGCGGTTATTTGCATTGACTGAAGTCTCATAGATATAAATAATCTAATCCAATATTTTTCAACAGCTACACTAGTGACATTTTGAGCCAAATAATTCTTGGTTGTAGGGCTATTTCGTAAAGTGTAGGATGTTTAGTCACATGTCTGGCCCCTACCCAACAGATACCAGCAGCACCTTCCCTCCATCCCCAAGGATATCACAATCAAAACCGTCCCCAGACATAACAAAATGCTCTTGAAATGAGAGGCAAAATGGCCTGAAGCCAAGAACCCCTGAATAAAGCTCATGGGAGGTGTTGTATTAGAAGGTCCAAAGCCAAGTATCGGGGTATGAAAGGTGAATTTCTTTGAGAACAAAGGAAGATGGGAAAAGTTAAGACTTGGTGACAAGTCCATATATACCTCAAACACTCAAAATCAATTTGAAGAAGTGCTTAAATACACAAATCTGTATGGCTAACCCCAAAATTCTAGAATAGTGGTTTTCAAGATGGTATTCACATACAAGCACCATCTCCTAGGGATTGTTGCAAATTCACATTCTTAACCCTCTACCAAGGCCACCAAACTGGACTCTGGGAGCAAGGTCCAACCCTTGGCTTCAAAAAGCCCTGTGGGGTTCTTCTGCACTCTGAGGCTTGATAACCTCTTCCTATAATCAGAAGCTGTGAATAGCTATTCAATGGCTACTAAGGAAGTCTCTCTAACTTCTCCAAATCACAGTCCACCCCCTTTTCAGGGACCAAAACAATACTTAAATGTTCTTCTATAGGAAACCATTAATACTTCTCTTAGAAAGTATCCCTGAGATCCCCAGCACCTGGAGTTCCATCTCAGCACCCTTCTAATGCAGGGCTCTTCCTTTCTAATCTGACATGGTTGATGTGCAAAACCTGGTCCTGTTTGAAGAACATTATCTTTTGACTTTAATATGTCACTGGTAATTGATGAAAGCTTTACTTAAAAATATTTTTAAAAGTAAGGTCTGATGATATACACTGTATGTATCCATCAGTCTCTTGTTCTCTACATCAGCCCCATGTTGCTGGGATGCTGAATGGGTAACAGAGTGGATCTGAACTTCAAGTTGAGTGACATTTTTACAAACTATTTCATACTATTTCTCCTGAGAGTCCGTACAGTAACTGATCGGCATTGTTTTTAAGTAAAAGTGAATCCTTGATCACAGGCTGGAAATAACAGGTTTGTCTCTCAGTCCAGGACAACCTACTTACCTGGATGGCCCTCTCCTACAGATTCTGATGTGAACATGAAGTCTCCTTCTTCACTTAGAGAATGGTCACACAAGCCATCCACAGGTCCATTCATTGTGTCACACTTTTCCACTCCACTTCTCCCAGGTGACAATTCAACGCTGTGACTTTGCCTGCAGCTCTTTTTCCCCCTATAAACCCAACAGGCTGGTCTTTGGCAGAGTCACAGGGATCACTTCTGCCTAAATGCCTATGAGCACGTGAGAACAAGGTAAGGATGGGTGAGAAGGGAGGGAGTGGATGGAAAGGAGATGTGTCACTCTCTCCAGCTGGTCAGAGCTTGTTCCTGGGTGACTCCTATATATGGAAAAGTGAAAGTGCCTGGATAATCATGTGAGAACATTGGAGGAGTCCATTTCCTGGGAGGGGAGCCTTCTTACCTTGAAGAATTTCAGCCTCGACTTCTGATATCTCAAATGGGAAGCTTGTGGTCCATGTAAAACAAAGAAGGCTGTAGACGCACAGGCAGGAAGTGCTGTTGGGACTTCCTTTAGCTTCCCAGCTGACCTTCCTGTGGTTTCAGGGTTAATATCCCACTCTGGTGTTGGGGATGGGGGTAACTTACTCATAGATACAAACAGGCAGCCAGAAACTCTCCCAGAGATATGGTTTGAGCTAAGGTTGCAACATTGTGGGCTCTGGCTCTGCTTTGAGCACACCCCCTCCTCCCTCACACCTGATCTGGATTGCACTTGCCCCCCTCTACTTCCTAGGGGCAAAGCAGGAGCCAGAAGCCTGCGCCTGTACTCTGAGCCAGCTGCAACAGATTCCTTTTAGTTAGAGAAAAATAAACTCTGGAGCCCCAGATAACAGAGATCAATAATTTTAAAAATGAATTTTTGAGAAACAGATCCATGACGTGGAAGTTAATATTAGAGTTTAGTTTCTCAAAACTTCTATATGATAAGCTTCTTTGTAATCAGTTTTATACCTTTCATAAATGTCTTGTTTATATAACTTCTGTATGATTTTGCTTTGTCCAAGAAAAGTAGCAAACAGGATTATATCTTTAACTAGCTTAATGTCATAAATGACGGTGCCGGCCACCATTCCTTCCCCACACTCAGACTTAGCTATGGTCTCCCACTCACAGAATGACAGGGGATTAAGATCACACAGGAAAATGGGTGAGAAACCTGTTTCTTCTAGAATGCAACAAAAAAGTAATCAACCAAAACCTTGTTCATCAAAGTTGGTCTGTGGGAAGCGCAAGTCAGATGAGCAGCAGCTCCACAAGAATAACCATAGTGGCTAAAACCTCCTCTCTGCTTATTATAAAAACATTTAAAACACTTTCTTTTGGGCACAAATTTTAAGGCTCTAAACCTTGATGCTTGCTCATTGGTCAGCAGTTCCAGCATAGTACCTCTAGGGAATTAAAATTATATTGAAGTGAGATGGAATAACACGAGGCATCTTATGTATACACAGTTATCAAAAGTATTTAACAAAGAGTGAGCTAAATTGCTTAGGCACAAGACTGATGAAAGTTTGGAGAGAAAAAGGTCACTGGGAAGGGAGGAGCACATGAAGGATCAAAGTGGAATTTTTGATAAAATAGCTTTGTTATTGCCAACAGACAAGACCTTTCCTGTTTGTACTTAAAATATTTCAACATCATTGCCCCTTTTGTAAATTTCTTTTGGGTACATTAGTTTCAAACCTAGAGACAATATGAGCTAATGTTTAATTTGAACTGTAGACCTAGATTGCCCTACAGGTAGAACTGTGGTCATTATGTTATAAATTTGCTTTAAGAACAACTTGAAGTTTACGTATCGAATATTCATCCAAGTTCTTAGATCCAGCAAGAAGACAGAAAATAAGAGCAATCTTCTGAGCTCCAAATGAGTAATAGCATCATGGAGTGGAGAGGTGCCAGCACTGCGAAATGTCCTGCATAGAGAAGTTGAGCTTCCCGAGTGTGTGCAGGAGGTATCTGTAGCATGGCCACCAATTCAGAGTGAGGGAAAGATCTGGAAGGCATCCTACTCTATACCTATCACATATGAATTTCTTATAGCATACCTACTAAATACAAGGGTGCCTTATGCTTTTTTACAAACTAAATGTTAAGAAACAGCATGCAGAGTGTGGTGGTTCAAACTGCAGGCTTCAGGGCTGGAGACCATTTTTCTTCTAACCTCCTGGGCAGACTGGAGCCAGTACCTGAGCTCTATAAGAGATGAAATAATTCCCTGCCTTATAACATTATTGTGAAAATGAAATGAGATCATTTATGTATGATGAGTCTTGAACATACTGCTAGCAAACAATAGAAATGTAATAAAAGGAAACACTATCAAACGACCTATGCGTATATACACAGTTTTCTTCTAAACAAAAATAGGACATTGTGTGCACGTGTATGTTCCTTTATTTACCCACGTGTGTATATTTACACCTTACTTTTTCCCATACCATATTTATGGTCCTCTTTTCATCTTCTACGTACAAATAGAACTCATTTCTTTTAGTGCCTGAATAGTATCCCACAGTAGGGATGTGACATAAATCATTTGACCATTCATTCCCTAACGGTTGAATATATTTTACTTCTCTAGTTATTTAGCATCACAATAATGATGCCATGGAGATATTTATCATAAGCATGTTTTTATAAAAGGTAAAATGGAAAGCGAGGTATGCCTGCTCACATCTGTAAATTGAAGCACTTGGGGAGGCTGAGGGAGGAGGATTGTGGGTTGGAGCTCATCCTGGGCACAGAGCAGCAAGATGATCTTTCCAGAGAGCAACACATGAAGGTTTTAACAATGGTGAACTAGCTAAAAGATTTAACTTCTAAAATAAATTTTATTAGTTAGATAAAATAAATACCAATCTACCCAAGAGTTAAAATAACAGCTTTAGTCTGCCCCCTGCGAAAAGAACTAATAGATCTTGGCAATGGTATAATTACCTTGACAGCCAAACCCACAAGGACTTCATACTCTGTTACCACCTAAATGCAAATTGAATCTTTCTGTGTACAGACTGTCCTGGTCTCCTTTACGCCTGAACTGTCCTCACACTTCTTTCCCTAGCCCCACTGATTATCTAGATTCAACATCTCAAAGGTTCACAATTGATCTCATTTCCATGCAGCAACCTTCAACTCTGTAACAAGTAATTGTACAAGCCTCTGAAGAAACTTGGCTTGCAGTCCTAGGAGAGAAGTTCCTGAGTGCCTATTCAAAAATGAGGGAGCTTGCAATTAAATAACAATGATATGCCTCAAGGGCTTAGAAAAACAGGAATGAGCGAACCCCAAAATTTGGAGATAAAAATAAATAGTAAAAATCAGGGTCGAAATTAATGAAGTGGAGACTAAAAGAATAATATAAGTAAACCAATGAAACAAACAGTTGATTCTTGGTAAAGATAAATAAGACTGACAAACTCTTAGCCAAATAACCAAAGGGAAAAGAGAAGACCCAAGTTAATAAAAGTGGGAAAAAGGGGTGGGGGGAGTACTGAAATAGATATCAACGAAACCAAGAAGCAGAGACTATTTTTAAAACTTATATTCCAATAAATTAGAAAATCTAGAAGAAATTGCTACAGTTCTGGATACATAAGAGCTACTGTGATGGTTAAGCTTGATTATATGCTTGATGAAATGTAGATTCACCATGGAAACAAACCTGTTGACATGTTTGTGAGGGACTTTCTAGATTATGTTAATTGAGGTGGGAAAATCCACTCTAAATGTGGGTTGCACCATTCCAAGGGCTGGAGTCCAGAACGGAGTGAAAAAGAGAAAGTGTGCTTGGCACTAGTATTCAGTGCTTTCTGCTCCCTGGCTATAGAGAGAATATAATAGCTACCTCAGTTTCCTGCTTCAATGCCTTCTTTGCCCCCATGATGAATCATACTCTCAAATTGTGAGACAAAATAAATCTTTCTTTAAGTTGCTTTTGTCAGGTGTTTTGTGACAGTAACAAGAAAAGTAATTAGAATAGAAAATTGATACCAAGAAGTGGGGTCATGGCTATGATAAATTTGATCATGTGGTTCATAGGGCTTTGGAACTTGTTTTCAGAAGGAATGTGGAACTTGTTTTTAGAAGGAATGTTTAACGTTTCAGAATGTTAAACTAGGAAATCCCTAGCATGCTATAAGCAAAGCTTAACGGACGTTTGAAAGACCAAAGACCTAAGAGAAACATGAACCTTGAAGGCCTAGATTCTGAAATCTCAGAAGGGAACAAATATTGTACTGGGAGCTGGGCTAGAGGCTATTTGTGCTACGCTCTGGCAAAGAATCTGGCATTCCACTTTGAGAACCTGAGTGAGACTAAGGTCAAAAGTAATGGGTGAACTTGCTTGTCAGAGTAAATCTCTCAAAACTGGCTAGCATGCAAGCTGTGTCTTAGTTACTGCTCACTGTTTTTACTCATGTCTTCAGTGAAAAGTAGAAAAAAGTTATGAAAAATGTTCAGAAGTTACAGATAAGGCAGGTTTGAAACAGCTGTAATCATTAAAGAGATTGGTACCATTAGAGAAAGACCTGGTGTCCTGCACTGCCACAACAGGAAAAGTACCTCACACCCCACCTCCATGTTGTGAAAAAGAAATTCATTTGAAAGGAGAGAGCATAACTGAGAATGCCGCCAAGGAGGTTTCCTGGTCAAAAACAACTGCCTAGGGAAGTGTCTTCCCAGGGTCAGCACACAGAAGCTACTGCAATGGAGGTCCAAGGATGCCAGGCTCGATACTGAGCTGGCGACAGAACTTGACAGCTTTGTCCACAAGAAAATGTTTTTACAGGCATGAAAGATGCAAATGGAGGCGTTCACGGACTCTCCAACCACTCTTCTGCTGAGGCCTGGGAATGTGCGGAAGAGTCAGAGTCCCGCAGTGAGGCCCCAAGAGGCCAGTGTATGAAGTTGTGAAGACGAAGCTGAAGGTGCAGGAGATGCCAGAACCCAGGGTTGTGCACTGAGGGACTCTGCAGGAAGCAGAGCTGGAAGAATGGGGTTACCCAAGCCCTTTGGAACCCGGAACTCCATCATGAGCCCCAGATCCTGGACATGGAACAGCAAGATCTGGGGTTTGCCCTGATGAGTTTTGGTTTAGCTTTGGTCTTGTCTATCTTTGCTATACTCCCACTCGTCTCCTCTAGAATGGGAACATTTATTCTGTATCACTGTATGTTGGAAGCATATAACTTGTTTGATTGTATGGAGCTCACAGTGAAGAGATGACCTGAATTGCAAAAGAAGCTCCGCATTTATACTTCTGAGCAGTGTTGGAACTATTAAAGACTGTGGGAGCTTTTGAAGTTGGACTGAATGCATTTTGCATTGTGAAATGGCCATGAGTCTAGAGAGACAAAGGGTGGAAGGTTATAGCTTAAAAGTGATTGTTTGAGTGTAAAGTTGACAGTAAAGCTGCAATGGTTAATCCAGATTATCAGCTTGATGGGATATAGCACCACCATGGGAACATACCTCTGGGCATGCCTGTCAAGGAGTTTCTAGATTAGGTTACCTGATGTGGGAAGACCTACCCTGTATGTAGGTGGCACCATTTCTCAAGAGTCCTGGACTGAATAAAAAGGAGAAAGCCAGTTGAGCATCTGCATTCTT